CATACTTCCTTGGGAACACTTATAAACTTTCCATAATTAATTTTTTCCCCATATTTCTCTTCACTTATAATTTATAAATCATTAATAATTGAAATGTTCCCATCCTTTCCTAATTTAGTTCTCTCATGCACTTTATTTCATTTGTTTATTAACAAGCATTCCACTAGATTACAATAAATATTTTATCCATCACTTTAAGCATATTTTCAAAGATTATTTGTATTTGTAATATAACAATACTATCTTATGTACCTTTGCAGAATCCCTTTTACAATTAAGTTTTCACCCATTATCTCTAAACAGGCTTATACTTTCAATTCTTATACCTTTGCCCTGTTTCTCTATATCTTGTTTCTGTCCTTTATAACTTCTTTTCCTTTCCTTCTTCCCTCTCTTCTTCTCCCTCACCTTTTTGCCCCCTTGTCTCTCTACTTCTAATTCTCTCTTCTGTAATCCCCTCTTCTGTTGCTTTCTAATATTATACTTATTTTTCAAACTATTCTTTTTTTTTTTTCAAATCTTAAACTTTTCATTCTCTTCATTTCATTCCCCCACATAAAATTACTTGATCATTAAAGCTGGCTTCTTCTTTGTCCCAATCTTCTTGTTCTGCAAGCGTTTCTTGTTGTTTCTCATAGTTCCAGATCTCCATTTCTAAGAGTTGAAATACGAAGCCAAAAGAATCTCTCCCTTCTTGTGCATCTTCTTTGTACTTTTTAAGTTCCATTTTCAGTTCTTCTAAAAGTGGTGCCATTTTAAACACTTTTAAACAACCACCCAATTGATTTTAGTCATTTAAATGCAGTAACCAAAAATCCAGAGATCACCAAGTAATCCAAATAATCCCAAACTGTTTCTTCTTGCTTCTTTTTTCAACTTTCTCTTCCTGGGGTTCTACTATTTTGTTGCCAAGTTTCAGTTAAAATGTATCTTTTAGGAATCTTGTTGAGGTTTTAGTTCCAGGCAGTCTCCTCCATTTTTCCAGATCCTGCCCTTTTATTCTTTTTCTCTCTTTTCCTGCTTTTCAAAGCTTTTAAGTATCCAGAAATCTTTATTATCCCTTTGACATTTTATTTTCAACTTAAATGCCTGTTGATGTCAAAGTGGATTTTTTTTCAATTTCTTGCTTAAGTCTCTTAGCTATCAGTATATGGAAGGGAAAACAAAAAACAAAACCAAATCCTTTCCCTTCCCTCTCTCCTTCGCTACTTCAAAATCTTCTTTGGGAACAATGTTATTTTTTTTTATAGTTTAAATTCCAGGGTACTTTGTGTTGTTGCTTTTGCAGTTTAACCCGGTCAACAAAGACTTTCTCTTCTTATTTTCCTCCTGCACATTCTTTTCCGGTCAAGCTCTTCTTTGAGGTGGTCATTTCTGACCACCGCTGCAACCGCCTTTGGGAAAGGGAGTGATGGCCAGCTGAGGAGGAGAGATGCGGCTCTCCTCAACCCTGCTGGCAGTCTCCCCACTCTTCACCACCTCTACAGGGTGGCTTAGCCCCGAAGCCAGTTGGCTCAGGGCGCTCCGGCGGGGAGCACGGATCGAAACCGCGCACGATCGCGGTTTCGGTCTGTCAGCAAAGAAACTCAAACCGGAAGTCCAACCAAATTGATATGTTCTAACTAGTTATACTACATCACTATCAATCATTTCCTCACTTTTCACTGTGTACCTGATAACGTAAGGATCTGAAGGCTTACAACGATTATCTGTCATGTGAAATATTTAGGTGTTATTTGTATATTTCTAACATATTTCTAACACAGAAGTATTTCCAAATAGATATAAAGATCAATTTTGTCAGGGATTATACCATAGAAAATTGCAGGCTGCATAATATAAATCTGGAATCAATTTTACCAATTTTATTCAGCCTACAAGAGGGGTGTCAAACTTGTATCGCTACAGCAGCATCACAGGACGTATCAGGACATTTTTCCCCTTCACTAAACCGGGTGGGACCAGCACGTGATGCATCCAGCCCACAGGCCGCAAATTTGACATCCCTGGCCTACAATATAGCTTTATGTACAGATGGTCCTCATATAATGATCACTCACTCACTCAGCGACTATTCAAATTTGTGACAATATTGAATAAGTAGTACTCTTAATCAGTTCTCAGAGTTCTAGCTGCTGCAATGTCCCTGCAGTGATATGACAGCAATCCAGGCATCCAGCATTCAGTTTGTGATTACACTGCAGTCTCACATGATCACCTTTGCAAACTTCCCACTGGTAAAGTCAATGGGGAAGCCAGCAGCAGATGCAAATGACAACCATATGACATTCTTGCTTAACAAATGGCAGTGATTTGTTTAATGATGACAACCAACAGTGTGGGAATACTAAGTAATGTTGTCGTGTTAGTTATGCTTTAAGTAGCATCACTTAGCTAAGGCAATTGGTTCCAATTTTTAACAGAGTACTACCTATATTGGTTGACCTAGTCTCAGTTTTTTTGTGGTAAATTTTATTTGTATTTCATTTTCTTAAGTGTACAACTGTTTTAATAATATGTAATACATCAACAACATTATTTCAAACATGTGTGAACTGCTTCTGGAACAGCAACCTTAAACAGCAGAAGCTACTGATAAACATTAAATTTTATTCAACACTTGTATTCTTCTCCCATCCCACTGATTTCATTTTCAAGAGATTTCATGATTAGACAGAATAAAACATTGCCTCTAAATTAAAACGAAATGCTATTGGTTGCTATCCCAAATATTGTTAGCAAACTAACTAAAAGAGCACTCTAAAAATGGTAATTTCAACAAATGTTGCTACAGACACATGATCTACGCATAACTACAGTATTGTTAAGAGATCTACAATATGTGACAACAGTGAAATGTATTCTTGACTTAAAATTAAATGGAAAACAAAATGGTACACAAAGAGAAATAATTAAAAGTTTTGCTTCCTGTCTTCAAAACAAGAGCTGCTATGAAGAGGACATATAGTTACCTGCATCCATATCTGCAAAGAATGGAACAGCCAGTAAGGAAAAAAAGGAACCAGAAATTCAGTGTCTCAGGTGGATTTAAAGTTCATAAGAGAGCAAATACAAATAATCAAGATGTTAATTTTAATTATTGTCACCTGAAATAAATGTTATTATGGTTCTTACTCCAGCCTATATTCGTTAACTGCAAAAAATTCAATTATGCATCTGTATATCTAAAAGTTTGGAATTAGAAACCTAACTGGAAATCCTAACGTAACTAAGAGAAGTGGCTACATGCAAAATATATTTTTGAATGTTTCATAATGTCAAATATTAGGGAATATATATAACATTATAGTGCTTATATTTTGCAATATAATTATAAATGGTACTGATAAAATGACTAGAGGAAAATTCTGCATCGAAGAATTTACTGCTCACATGACTACAAATACATTTGTAAATAAAATTAGACATGGATTTTTGGCTGGAAGAATATATAGGTATAGAGAGAGAGAGAGGTAGGCAAAAGTAATGTCTGAAGACATCAATGGATTTCTAGTTATCTCTTATGGTACTTGCTAGATTCACTAATTCATCTGACTTTTTCTTAAAATTATTTCTATTAATGACTAATAAACAAATAAATATTGAAAAAAATAGTATCATATAGCAAAAACCCCAAGCATCACTTCTATTTAAGGGAAAACTCTAGGCCCCATTTAGGCCCTCTTTTAGGTATTTTGGTGGCTGAAACTCAGTGCTTTATTTCTAAGTGTGCCTTCTATCCTGCAAACTGGACCTACCATTTTATGGATAATCAAGCCCCACTCTCCAAAATCAGACTATTAGAGAGAGGCTCTCTGAGGTGCTTTCAAAATTCTAAATGTTTTCACACTTCAAATCTGACCTTATATATCAAAATGCATTATATGAAACAAAGTGTATTATTAGTCTGATCTCTTTAAGAATACAAACAGATAATCATGGGAAATGCATGTTCAATTTTTGGACGTATACAGGTAGCTCGGGACTTACAACCATAACTGAACCAAAATTTCTGTTGCTAAGTGAGATAAGTGAGTTTTGCCTCATCTTACAACTTTTTGCCAGAGTTATTAAATGAATTACTGCAGTTAAGTTAATAACACTGTTGTTAAGTGAATATGGCTTCCCCATTGACTTTGATTGCCAGAAGGTAGCAAAAGGTAGCAAAAAATATGACCCTGGGACACTGCAACCATCATAACTATGAGTCAGTTGCCAAGTGTCTGAATTTTGATCACGTGACCATGCAAATGGTCCTAAGTGTGAAAAACAGTCACTCTTCTCAATGCTGCTGTAAATTCAAATGGTCATTAAATAAACTGTTGTAAGTCAAGGACTATCTGTATTTTGTATGGTAATATTTCATACAGGCAACCTCAATTTACGACCACAATTAAGCCTAAAATTTATGTTGCTAAGCAAAACAGTTGTTTTACCCCATTTTATGACCCTCCTTGCCACAATAGGGATGCTACAACGGTCATAAATGTGAAAATAGGTTATAAATCACTTTTTTCAGTGCACTTGGAATGGTCATTAAATGAATGGTTGTTACTAGAGGACTACCTATTTTTGGCTATTGTTAACACCCACTGTAAATGTTAAAACAAGGGTGAACAAACCAAAATCAACAGGTTAAATACAGTCTCCTAACAATTAAAGGCCACTGAAATTGCACTGCTCAGATTTAGCACCAAACTCAGGAAAAACAGAAGCATTATTTCATTCTTTGGAGGAAGGAGAAACTAAATAAAATAAAAACTATTAAACTAATTTGGCAACTAGTATTGAATAAAATTTAATAAAACAGTGTGTAGCATGGGTTTGAAACATCTAAATGTCTTGAACTATTCCTACCAAAGGGAATTCCTCAGAAGGGAATTCCACAGAAGGGAATTAAAATCTTGATCCTGTTCATCTACATGAACTTGTTTTGTCTGGAAGCTTTGTCCATCCCTGGTTTAAGAACAGCATGCTTGTAAAGCTATCAGTCATTTTACCTTCTGGTGATTCCTCCTGGACATAGGTCCCAGTCAGATAACGATGTACAAGAGCAGATTTACCACTAGCTAAATTCCCCACAATTCCCTGCAGAGAAAAAAATATGAGTTAGTTTTTATTCTTGAATGAATTTGCAAACAGAAGTAAATAGAAACTATCCATTGTGATATAACAATATTAAACTCCTAGATATTTATATCAATTTATGCCCAAAAGGTAAAAATAAAGAGCATCAGTTATAATCAAGTACAAATATCAAGTACTATACCAAGTACTTGTTGTATACCAAGATGTAGTCAGCTACAGACACTATATCTAAATGCCAGCAATAAATGCATTTTAATAACTGCAGAAACACCTTTAGAATAGTGGTGTTTTTTCAAATATCCATATACAGATACTAGCTTCAAGAAAGTCCTCCACAGTTTAGGTTCCCTTCTCTAAATTTCAAGGCTACCACAACAGTCAGAATCTAAGACAACTTACAAATGCAAAAGCTCCCCCTAAGATAGAAGTGGGCAAATATTTGCAGCTGGGGGTCATATTTCAGTTTTTGAGAAAAACAAGCACCACACTGCAGTAAGGAAACTAGTAGAACAATGTGTACATGCATGCAAACAAGGCTAGGTTCTTCTATATATTCCTAAATTTAGGAGAAGAATTTGTTGGGGCAGAGTTCTTTGGATTTTAAACGTATTATAACAACTTTAGGGCTGAATAAAATCTGAATACTGAATTCACAGAGGAATAAATCATATTTTATTGGCTCCAGAAAGATTATAAACATTTATGTTATTTATTAATAGGAAGAGATTATGAGGACTAGAATTGAATGAGATACACTGTTCTTAGATGCTATCTTGTATTACTGTTCCTTTTTTTGTCTTGCAAAATATTTAAAATGAGAAAAATAAATTTTAATTTTTCTTGAAATCCTATCCTTGCCTTTGAAAGATCCATTCTAGCGTGTTCAGCAAATATTCCAGTCTAGTGTGACCTACCTCTGCCGAAGAACAATAATGAAGAATAATGATTTACCTAAAAGCTTACATTAAACAAAATTCATTTTATACTTAAATATATTTTGTATGAAACTACCACTATTCATTTCTATTTTTACATGTTAATAATACTTATGTCTGAAATATTTTATTTATTCAAGTATAGCCCAAATCAACCCTCAAATTAATGAGTTCTCAAATCTATCGACACTTAATATATTTCATCCAACATTATTTGGCTTAATAGCATTCTTAAAGTGCTCTTCCACATAATAAATCCCCATTGACAACTAAGCTTTAATATTTCACATAGCCTATTGTTAAATTAAGCAAAATGTTCAAAAATAAAAACACTTTTTTGATAGAAAAATAAGGATATGCAGGGTAAACTTTATCTGGATCAGGTTATCAAGCTAATCCTCCATTTTGGAAACTATTAGGAACTTATTTAAAATGGGAGGCTTACATCAACCTTTTTCTTCCCTCAAGCCAATCCAAATATTATTTGAAAGATGAACAAATATCACTCAGAATTAAGGACTGATCTAGAATTTGAAGTTCTGATATGCACAATAATCTGAAAAAGAACTCACAAAACCAGAAAACACACACAGACACACACACACACACAATACTTCCAAGTTTCAGTATTCTGTCAACATCATGAGGTAGATCTCCTCTACATTAGGCCTGAAATCCGCAAACAGCAAATAGTAAGAGCACATAGCTAATAAATATTCTTTTAGGCAAAATAAATATTTCCATAAGGATATTTGATTTAAAGGAAAATTTTATTGCACATCTAAGGACATGAAATAGCTCAGCAAGTTTTCTCACAGCTCTCTCTCTATAAAAATGTTGAATAATATTTAAAGAGATGAAAGAAAGAAATAATTCCTTCCATCTAAACTACCCAAAGCCATCAAATAAAATTTAAATGAAAAAATAAGTACACACATTCAGAAATTACTTACCACTTTTAGTTCTGGCACTGATCGACTTAGTGTCCATTCCTGGCTATTTACAAAAGCATCTGTAAAATTGAACATTATATATTTTTATAAAATATTTTAACTGTTACTATCATTACTGTAACTATCTTAGTCTATGGATTGGAATGAAAAAAATGAGACGAGTTTTGTTGCCATGAAGAAGATTTCCTCACTTTTGCTTCAGCTCTCTGCCAAAATATTTTTCTATTCTTGAGTCTATGAGATGAAGTATGAAACAGCTACAATGGTTAGAAGTACAGAATTTATAAGAGCAGCATATACAATTGAGAAGTTACTTGTGCTCAAAAAAGACATATTTGATTCCAAATCTCTCTAAATTTCATGTTGATAAAGTATCCTTCCTATTTTGTGCTTCAACTTCACTATTAACAAAACAATTTGGAAACAGGTGATACTATAGATTATAAATTTGTGCGTCTGTATAATATACAAACATATACAATATCTGGCTTCACAGGACAATTTGCATTGAAATCCTCCTCTCAGGTGCTAAGAATTGCTGGGAAGTAGAAATCAGAAGTTTTCTGAAATATGCCAAGCTAGGTAACATATCTGCAGAATCTTTAGCCTTCCAAGCACCTCAAATGCAGATTATGCAGTGATCCATTTATTTTTATTTTATTTGTCAAACATGTATGTACAAGATAACAAGTAAAGGTATGAACATAAACATGCACAAAGGAAGTAAATACAGATAAATAGGGACAGTGAGACAGGGATGGAAGGCATGCTGGTGCACTTATGCACACCCCCTTTAAGGACCTCTTTTAAGAATGGGGTGAGGTCCACAGAAGACAGTTTGAGATTGAACTGTGAGGGTTTGAGGCTGTAACAATGGAATCAGGTAGAGCATCCCAGGCGATGACCACTCTGTTGCTGAAGTCATATTTTCTGCAATCGAGTTTGAAGAGGTTTACCTTGAGTTTGTATCCATTGTTTGCCCGTGTATTATTGTGGTTGAAGCTGAAGAAGTCGTTGGCGGGCAAGACATTGTAGCTGTGCTCCACATCACACTGTGCGGGACCATTTTGTACTATGCTTAGATCAGACCGCAGGTTGCACAGTTGCAGATTGTCCAAGCTCAAAATTTCAAGCCTGGAGGCATAGGGAATTCTATTGTGAGTAGAGGAGTGCAGTAGAACTGCTATAATGAGTCACTGGCACTGAAACTAATAGAAAAGATAATTGCTAATAAAGTTTGAAATAAATCAGTGCTCATGCCTCTGACCAATTAATGTTGACAAGACTATTTTTATTATATTAATAAAATATAATTACATTAGATTCTAAATAAACATGTACGATTGTTTTATAGGCCTGTTGATGACTGATTTGTCTGAGTGCCAGGCTACCAGGAACTCTCTAGAAGTTTTTAGTCTTGGCTTGGTCTATGATGCTCAGGCATGTCTCTGTTCAAAATCCAAGAAAGAAAACCCTCGACTCCATTGAGGTAGAGAAGAGGTACTTTGAGTTTGAAATTAAAGGAAAGCAAGATCTATCCAAAAGGTGTGACAGTTCCATATTGAAAGTTTCCCCAAATCCCTCCCCCCAGGGACCAAGGCTGAAAGTCCAATCCATGTCCAGCATAGTGTCATGTGCAGCACATCTTCAGGTGCTTTCATCCATTTGGAGTTCTAGGATGGCTGGCCTTGACTGGGTGGAAACAACTCCACTCAGCAGCGCTGTAATTCTTGAGAGCAGACCTCCCTTTTAGTTCACATGGGCCTTCATCATACCAGCTCACTTCCCTAACCCCAATACCACCCACCCCCCATTACTATGGCAGCTGATAGCAACCATGCTGGATATCCAGCTGACACAGTTACCCAGTTGAAAATTATGATTAAGTCTGTCTACTTGTTGTGAAATTAAGGAGCTGTCACATTAACTCTTCCGGCTGCTAGTTGTTATTCATGGATGCACTCCGCTAGTCTTCCTTTGTCCTACATAGTGGCTGTTGTAGCCCTGACACTGTACACTGTAGATAGTCTGTTTTCCTTCTGAGGCTGCTAGATCTATTGGATAACTTATGATGCTTTGGGAGTATTAGTTAGTTTGTGTGCTACATTGATGCCACGTCACCACAGAAGTATGTACACACCATTTGCCATATTTACTGTAAACGTTAATCTAGTTTCAAGTTGCTTCAAACCTGGTCATACAGCTTGTCCACCTCAGATCAGAGCCGCTTTGACAGGGACCCAAACAAATTGACCTTCTTCTTGAATCAGGTGTGGGCTCACATCGATGACTATGGCCCCAGCTATTCACCAACCAGGCTATGGTGCGAGTGGTAACTGCCTGCCTTGATGGGGAAGCGGTGAGGAGTGTGGCTGATAGGAGCAGCCCCTGCCACACTCCTCACCGTACCTGTCAGGCTAGAGATGGGCAGACACTGGGAACTCATCTGCTTCATAGTGGTGCCAAAAATGACGGAAGCGGTGATTCTAAGGCTGGTGTGGCTAGACAAGTGTGGCCCGACCATCTGGTGGGAAGGGGGCAGCAGAAAACAGACTGGGACTAGGTTCCCTTCCTCCTCTGGACACAGCCACAGGGAAAACCGACCAATGGCTGAATGTCATTAAGCAAGATGAAAAAAACCAAAGCTATGTCGGAGCAAACCCCAGGGACACCCCACATCCCCAAAGAATACCAGGACCTAGCAGGAGCCTTCAGCAAAGAAGAATGCAACATCTTACGTCACACCCCCCCCCCAAAGACTGTGCCATTGAATTTGTGCCCAAAGTGAAACTACCCAAGCCAAAAAAGTATTACATAACCTCAAAAGAAATGAAAGAAAGGAAAGTACATTTGTGATGACCCAGAGCACGGTACAAAGATCACACAAACAGCTGGCAGTTCAAACTGCCCCTTTATTGCTCTAAAGTTCCCCAAATGCTCCCACGTTTCTGGAAAGTCTCGAGCAGAATGATAACAAAACCCCACACAAACCTCAAGCAGCTTCTGGTTGCAATTAGTCCAGCCCAGCGCTGTTTGCACCAAAGCTGCTCGGCAATAAATCCAAAGGTATTTGGCAAATCAAGGAGTTCAAGGAACAAAAGACCCAGGTAATTAGTCTAGAACTCCCACCGAAATGCAAGGACTCTTGGCTAGTTCAAACATCGACACAATACTTCAGAAACTCAGTGTTTGTTCCTGCCAAATGCCCCTCCCCACAGCGCCTCCTTAAGTCTCACTTGCTCGATGTGCCTTGTGAAGATGGGCAGGGCACTCTCCTCACATCTAGATTGCTCCATCTGCGCTGATCATGCCTCTCCACTTGCCGAGCCCTTGCATCAGGAGGGGGTGATCCTAGCTCCTCACCTGAGCTCTGTCCCTCATGTTCCTCCTGCCTCTGTTCCTCCCTGCCTGGAAGCCTTACTACCTCAGAAAAACCTTGCCTGGACTGACTCTGCCCTTCCCCAGTTTCTTCCAAGGCCAACGGAGCTGCTCTCTCCATATCTGGCATTTCTTTTTCCAGGTGATCTTCCCCCACAGATTCAGATTCCAACGGGGACATGGCAACATTGACATGGACCTAGCAAGGGGATCCATATAGCCCACAAAATCAAGGGTAGCCGCTCCGGTCTGATTCAAAGAGAAAAAGGATGGGTTGATGAGATTATGCGTTGATTTTAGGAGAATTAATGCCATGTGCATGGAAAATATGTTCCTCCTCATGATGGACCTGTTAGCCCACCTAGCAAAAGGAAAGGTATTTGCCAAGCTAGACCTGTGAGAGGCATGTTTCTGAGTGTGGATCAGGGAAGGGGATGCATTCAATTTCCTAGGAAGCTTTCAATTCGAAGTAATGCCATTCAGCCTTCAAGAAAGCCTTGAGGTGTTTATGCAACTAATTAATGAGGTGTTGCATGAGCACCTCTACAAGGGAATCCTCGTGTATTTGGTGACACTCTCATCTTCACTGAGACCCTAGAAGAGCACATTAAACTAGTACATCAGGTGCTAAAAAAGCTGTTGGCAGCCAAACTATAAGCCAAGCTCTCAAAATATGAATTTCCCAAGTCCTGCCTAGATTACCTGGGCTATCGGGTATCTAGCGAAGGAACGGAAATGGACCCTGGCAAAGTCAAAGGCGTTTTAGACTGGCAAGCCCCTTGTACCCACAAACAGCTTCAAAGCTTCTTAGGATTTATTAACTTTACAGCAGTTCATCCCTTCATTCACTGAGATAGCCCTCCCCATCACTGAACTGTTAAAAAGGGGAGGGGAGGAGTCAAAACATGACTGAGTCAACCACTAAACTGGACCTTAGAGTGTCAAAAAGCTTTTGAAATACTCAAGACTGTCCCCAGTAGAGGAAGGCGAGACCAGGGAGAGCGTCAAACCTGCCCTCCAGGGGAGCCTAGCAATCACTTAGGACATGTGGTGGTCCCCTGGGTGGCTGTCCAGAGCTTTAGGCAGTGAAAGGCAATCATCCAGCCCAACCCTAGAGCTCCAAGAGCACTGGGACACCACAGCCCAACCCAGCCCTGCTTCGAGGAGGTGCCCAGCTGCACTTACATCCTCCAGACTGCTGCTGCTGTGCTCACTCTCTTTGGCCAGGTTGCTCATGGTGTGTGTGGGAGGGCAAAGTGTGTGGGTCAGGGGGAGACCCATTCCACACAAGGAGACCCAGCTTTGTAACCAAAGCATCTTCAGCGATAGGATGGGTGACCACCAGGAGAGGGCAGCAGAGCTCCTGGTGACCAAGTGCTAAGGCAAAACTTCCTTAGCCCCTCCCTCCCTCTCATAATATTTCTTTCTTTCCTTCCTTCCTTTCCTCCCTTTTCTTCTTTTTCCTTCCCTCTTCATTCTTTCTTTCTTCTTCCTTCCTCTTTTTCTTCCTTGCTCTCTTACCATCTTTCCTTCTTTTTGTCTTTTCTCTCTCTCCTTTCCTGTTCATTTTTGGATGCTCAAATGCAAAAGGGGAAACATTTCTCGATGCCTCCTTGCCTTGTGATCAAATGCCACTTTTGTTGTAGTTTATTTTGCTAGCACTCATCAGAGAAAACAGGGC